CAACAATCTATTACAAATGCATCAGTCCTAATGGTTAGAGGAGGTGAATAGCCTATTAAAAAATAAGACGGCGAAGCGAATTTTGCGCTAGCTCTACACTTGTGTTGCAAGTCACTAACCGGCGTGGAAATCCAGCAATCATTGTTGATCTCCAAAATTCAGAGTTCAGAGAGAGCTGATCGAGAGCATGTCGCGGTGCCTGGCGGTCAGCGAGTGTTGCGGTATCACTATCACCGGCTACCACCGGTCGCCGGCGCCGGCGTCGGCGCCGTCGAGTCGCGACCTGCCTGTCGAACCGTCGATCGCTAGCCGCCGGCCGCCGCCCTAGGTGCAGCCTGCAGTTGATTTGCGATGGGAGCTGTAGCGTCGGAGAGGAGAGCGAGTCGGAGGCGTGGATGTTTTGGACTCCAGGTCTACTGCTGTAGATTCGGACGATGGGCATGGACGGTGAAAAATGGGCCTTCAGGGTGGACTTATTAGCCTGATTGCCTTGCAAGCTTCAGCTTGAATGTGCGGGATGTTGGACGATGAGCCGGAGCTATGGATGCTGGGTTGTGAGGCTGCCGGGGTCGTATGATTTCTTAATGGGGGTGTTGCACGGTGAAAATTTGTTACGTATAAGATCTTCGCCGCAAACCATCGGTGTCGGACGACCCCGGCCACTGAGCGTAGCTTCGCCATTGCCAAGGACTAAACTTTAGTCACTCCTGTTTGATTGTAGTGATTAAACTGCATTAAAGCAGTTGAACAAAGATCAAATTGCCCCTACTAGATGCACAAATTGCCCCTGGCTGTGACAATTATTGAGGGGCAGCCCTGGGAAACCAAACAGGCCCTACAAGTTCCATTTGGACCTGGAAACGCAGCCCAGGAGAATTAGTAGGCCCATACGGAAAGTATTAGTGGCGTGAACCCTAGGCCAGGCCCACTTGACCAACACGGACCCTCTCCACTCGATGCAATCGCAGCCGTCCAATCAATCAGCAGAAACTTTTAAACCCCCCACTCCCCCACGGACTAGGGTTCATTCGCTACGCCGTCACTTCCCTCCCCTATCCCCAACCTCGTTGTGCGGCACTCCGGCGGCAGCGAGCCAGCGAGTATGGTGAAGGGACGGCAGGGCCAGCGAGTCAGGTACGCGGCCGCCACACCAGCCTGCTACGTTCCCTCGCATCCCGTCGCCGGGGTAAGCAAGCATCTGATCTGACCCGTCGTCTCCGTTCGTTTTGTTTCCGGCGCAGGACGTACGTGCGGGGCACGATCCTGGGCTACAAGCGCTCCAAGTCGAACCAGTACGAGCACACGTCGCTGCTGCAGATCGAGGGCGTCAGCACCAAGGAGGACGTGGCGTGGTACGGCGGCAAGCGGATCGCCTACGTGTACAAGGCCAAGACCAAGAGCGACGGCACCGCCGTCCGCTGCATCTGGGGCAAGGTCACGCGCCCGCACGGCAACTCCGGCGTCGTCCGCGCCAAGTTCCGGTCCAACCTCCCGCCCAGCTCCATGGTGAGCCTCTCCACTGCTGGTGTATTTTGTTTTTTGTTTTTTTGGAGTACTCGGTATTTTTTTTGTCTGCCTTTTTGATGGGTGTTTATAATGGTGTTGCAGGGTAAGAAGGTCCGCGTGTTCATGTACCCCAGCAGTGTTTGACTCTAACCGAGGTAGAATGCCTTCTCACCCCTTAGTCGTTTGAATGTGTGGTGTGTTGCTTGCTGGATATCAGTTTACATATCAGCTTTAATGCTACTCTATGCAAACACTTTAGCTGTCAGATTTAATACAACTCTTATCAGTGTTCCATGATGCATATGCTTAGATGTCAAGTTGAACACTTCTCTATCAGTGTTAATGCAAGCTATTGATTGTGTCTTGTATGTTGGCGATGTAAACCTTCAAAGGCTGTCTAATCAGAATGTGAAGCTGCGGTCTTAGGTTGCCCTGTATTTGATCCTTCTGTTGTTTGTGTCTAATTAAGGGTCCCATGCCACTTGGGGGAAGCTCTCCTTTTAGCTTCGAAATACCCGCAGGTTCTCTGCGGGGTGCTCGGATGTTGGGGCCCTAGAGCAAATGCAGTGGTCTCATAGTACGAGGCTGTACTTTGGTTGATGGGTCTCTCATCAACCGTCACCTCATAGCCTTGCCTCCAATGACCACAACATTCATTATCCATGTATTTACATTTGTGCTCTCTCGCGTGGCAACATGTTTGGAGTTTGAGATAGTTCTGTTTGATTATTGTGTAATCGTATTGTAGCTCGGCTCAGCATTATATGCCTTTCTATTTAGGTGATTATGTATCTATCTTTCGCTAGGCTGTTGAACAGTTTTAGACTATGTTGCAGACTTAAAAAAACTGTTGACGCATTGGTCTGAGCTAGAAAACTGTATTCTATATCCTGCTTGGTTTGTCTTTCTTGTCGTAAATTGTGCCTTACTAGGTAGTCAATACACTCATGCTATTGCCTTTAATGGTTATCCAGTCCTACCCTGTCGTTGCTGCCACAGCAGTTAAGGAATCGTTGCCTTGGCATGTCACCGCCTCTGTCCGGCAGAGCCAGCCAAGTCTGTCATTTCTTCTGCTTGTGTTTTTATTGCTTGATTTGGGTCTGTTTTCTCTTCTGTGTCCTGTATTTTGATTGCCGTCGTGTGTTCATTGCTTGATTTTCGATCTGTTATCTCTTCTGTTGTTCCTCTTTCTTCCTCGTATGCAGAGGAAAGCTAGGTTGTAAGGGCAATGATGATGCAAAGGCATGCACCACTCTGAATGAGGGGATTTTCTCTCTTTGGGCTGACAAACAAACTTTCTACCCATTTTTCGTCTGAGCCTTCTACTTACAAGTGTGCTTTCTTCTATCTCCATTTGTTCGTGTTGCTTAATGTGATACTTATTTGGTTCCGTTTCGTGGAGTTCTTGAGTGACACCTGAGAACTAGATGATGTGGGTCGACAGATCCAACCATGATGCGGACTGAATCTTATTTGAGGTCAAATCTAATTGCCGCTGATGGTTCTCGAGTTTACCTCCCCTCTGTCTGTGCTTGTCCTTATTTTGTTTTGGATTTGTTGCTTTGAATCAGTTTCCATGAATATAATGGTTTAAAAGAGATGAAGCCAATTTGCAGAGCAAAGGGGCCAGATAAGTGGTGATCTTTGCATTGAAGGTTGGCGACAACAAAACTGCAGTTCTCCGTGCCGCTCAGATTTCCATCTGTTCTGTGATGGCCTCGAACAAGCTGCTACATCATCTCTTATCTGTGATCTAAGCTACTCCCTCTGTCCCTGAATAAATCATTTCCTAGAGCTGTCCTAAGTTTGGTTGATCTCCCCTGAGTTAAATGGTAACTAATCTAAGCAAATGCAGTGGTCTGATAGTACGAGGCTGTTGTTTGGTTGATGGGTCTCGCATTGATCACTTCCTCACAGCCTTGCCTCCAATGACCATTGGTCACAACATTCATTATTCTTGTCTTCACATTTGTGCTCTCTCGCGAGGCAACGTGTTTGGAGTTTGAGATAGCTCTGTTTGATTATTGTGTGTAATCATATTGTAGCCTGTCCCTGCATTATATGTTTTTCTATTTAGGTGGTTATGTGTCTATCTTTCACTAGGTGGTTGAACAGTTTTAGACTACGACGCAGACTTAAAAAGTGTTGAGGTATTGGTCTGAGCTAGAAAACTTTAGCATATCATTTGAATTTCTCTTTAGTTTACTAGACGTGGGACTCTAAATACAAAATCTTTAGCATGGGCTGGAATTTTGATATATTGAATCTGTTTTAAAATATATGACGTTTATGCCAAGCTAATCACTTCATTGCATTTTAAAAAAAAGGGCTACTGTTTTTAGAGCGCAATGTTGATCTTTGTATTTTGGGTTTTTTCTACTGCTCAATGCTATACTAGTGTGGGGTGTTACTTAAATCTTTATTTGCATCCTTTATAGTTGTAAATCAGTGTATAGTTGTAAACTCACAAATTCCTCCATTTTGAATGTAGCAGCTATCTCACTATGATGTCAGGCTAAGGAGGTTGATCCGGAAAGCTTCTGACGACGATTTTGAGTAGTTTAGCATAGGAGTTTCCTCTTTTTCTTTCACTGAACAGGTTTGGCTAATCAAGTGTAACTCTGTTTTGTTGTGTTGAAATGAAGCAAAGCTGGGATGTTTCAACCTGCGAGTTAATGAGTTAATAAAGGGTATTAGGGAAATCAACCAAATGTATAAAGAAGCAATAAAAGGTATGCTGGAATTAATCCTTTGTTGCAACCAAGCAATAAACTTGATTCTGTTGACGTGGGTGTTTGCCCAGTTGCAGAAGATTCATGGTCTGTCCTCAAACTTCGTGGTGTGTCATCTAGGTTGCTATCAAAATGTTATTTTTGAGTCTCTAAATTTGATTTTGGGTTTTATCTGGGTTCAAACGGATCTTAGCCCACTCCACTCGCCTGGTCTTTCTCTCTGTTTCTTCTCCGCTCTGCGCAGCCTCCATCTCTCCTTGTGGGTGAGCAGAGAGAACACGTCCTTGCTCTGGCGCCTGTGGTTGGAAACCAGGGCCAGAGCCTGCCGCCGCGCCGGTGCGAACAGCGGGACCCGTGAGTCGTGACGGGACGAGGATGCCGGAGGATGCCGAGGACCCGTGAGTCGTGACGCGCCGGTGCGAGCAGCGAGCGCCAGAGCGGGCCGTGTGGTGCGGAGCTGACGGTGCTCTGGGCGCTGTTGAGCACGTCGAAGGGCGCGATGGCCGGCGGCCGGCTGGCGAGCGCGGGCCCGCGCTGGACGAGCGCGCGGTGGGTGACGCCCCGGCCGAACACGAAGATGGCGGAGTCCGTAGCCGTCTCCATTTTTTTTTCTGAAAGATCCGTAGCCGCCGTCTCCATGCCAATGCGGTCCACGATTTCTCACAGCTCCGCCGCCGGCGAACTCACTCGCGCCGCATTTCCTGTCCTCCTTCTCTTTGTCCGCCGAGCAAGAAGATCTTCTAGTCTCACGCGGCTACAAGGATGTCACCTCCATGGGCCTCGTGGCAGAGGCCGACCCCGGCGTGGGACGCCACGTCCCTCGCCTCCGCCCTGAAGACCGCGGCCGCCTGCCACTCCGCGCCCCACGTCAGGCCACTCCACGCGGTGCTGCTTAAGCTCGGCCTCTCTACCTCCACCATCCTCGCCACCCCCTTGGCGCACCTGGCGCTGCGAAGCGGGCTTCCACGGTACGCGCGGGAGTTGTTCGACGAAATGCCCCGCCCGGACGTTGTCTCCTGGACATCCCTCATCACCGGCCACGCCCACCAGGGACTACACCGAGAATCCCACGCGCTGCTTCGGCGCATGGTGGGCTCTGGTGTCGGGCTCAACGGCTACTCCCTCTCCGGTGGATTGCTGGCTTGTGCTGGTGTCGGCCAGGGTGCACTTGCTCTCGGGAAGGAAATCCATGCCAGTGACCAGTCGACCCGGTTGTGGAGAACGGGGTTCTTGACATGTACTCAAGGTGTGGAAGCACAGAGTATGCATTGAGAGTGTTCAGGGTGATGCCTGTCAGGAACATAGTTGCTTGGAACTCGATGATGGCAGCTCTTCTTGGGAGTAGGCAGGCTGAGGATGCACTGAGGTTGTTTGTTTCCATGGTTTCTTGTGGCGTTGGCGTGGATGGCTTCTTATTCTCCATAGTTGTGGATGCGTGTGGGGAGCTGGCGTTATTGAAGCAGGGGATGCAGGTGCACTCACAGGTTGTTGGTAGTGGATTTGAAGCAGATGTCGTTGTCAGGAACTCCTTAATCGATATGTATGCAAAGTGTGGTTGTGTCGATTCGGCCAAGCTTGTCTTCAAAGAAGTATCATCAAATGATGCTGTTCTTTGGACCACAACGATCTCAGCTTATGGCAAGTTTGGCCGTGTACAGGATGCGGTCAGCATGTTTGACAGGATGGCATACTTGGGAGTAAAACAAGATGGCATAGCATATCTTGTGGTTTTGTCAGCTTGTAGCCATGGTGGACTTGTTAGAGAAGGTTGGTACTACTTCAATTTGATGTCTGATGGTTCAAGCTCAGTTAAGATGCAACCTGAGCACTACGGATGCATGGCAGATCTCCTATGCAGGAGAGGTTACCTAGAAGAAGCTCTTGAATTCATTGAGAATATGCCATTTGACTCGAGCGTTGCTGCTTGGAGTGCGTTACTTAACTCATAACTCATCTCGAATACATGGCAACGCCAAGTTAAGTCAATTGGCAGCATCCTGTTTGCTCAAGATTGACCCTGAGAACCACAGCAACTGGGTTGCTCTATCAAGCGTGCATGCATCAGGGAATGATTGGCATGAGACCTGGGCAATCAGGGAGAGCATGAGCAGAGAGTGTGTGAAGAAAGAACCTGGGTGTAGCTGAGTTGAATTGTGTGATGGCGTTCATGTTTTTATAATGGCCGACCAGTCTCATCCTGAATTATTTCAAATATTGCAGTCTTGATTCTTTGAAGGAGGACATATTGGTGATGCCTCTGCAAGTTTCATAGAAAATCTGTATTTTATATCACAGCTTTGTTGTAGGTGGTTTAAATCTCACTGCACAGTAGGTGATAGTTCTAATCAAAACAATCATCTATGTAAGGATGCTGCTCCAGATACTGAATATGATGAGTTGATGACAAATTGTTTTGACCTGCTGTTGATTATTGAAATCAGGGACTGATATTATTGAATTCTTCTGGTGAAGCATAGTCTTCCTTCCACATGTTGCGTGTGTTAGGCTGTCCACATCTCGCAATGCAAAGGCTGGAGTTTCTCCAATTCCTGAGATATTGACAAGCTTATCGATTATATTGTTGTTGGGGGCGACGGGAATGAGGCGAGGCCGCAACTGATCGTGGTAGTTAAATTGTAAAATCAGGTTGCATCCCTGCTGTTTTTGAGTTTGTGGAAGTCCGGTGCTGCAGCTATCATGCTACTATCATGCTGTTGGGCAAAATAAGCATGACTATCTGTACAGTTTTCCACTAGTGTGGGGTTTTCCTTCCCTTGACAATCTTTATTTCATTTCGCATCACATTTCATAGTAGTAAACTCAGAAATCATTCCATTTCTGACTTAGCAGGTATCCTTGCCTGTGCTGTCAAGTTTGTCTCTTGGAGGAGATTGAGCCGGAAGGCTGCTTACAATGGCGGATCTGAATAGTTTAGCATACCCTCTCTTTTTAGTTTGTTTCACTGGATGACAGTACAGGCTTGTTATTGGCAACTTGGATGACTTGTGTCAACTGTAACACATTGGCTTTTAAGTGAAGCCAATCATTGATGGTTCTTGCTGGAACGTTACAAGCTTGTTCTGGCGCTCGCATCTAGGCTTCCGCCATCGTTTATCGCTTGCGAAGAAGCCTATCCACATGTTCGCTTGGCTTATAAGACACTTCTTTTTTAGCCAACGAATAATATTTTTTTTTCACAACAAATCAGTCAACAGAAAGCAAACATGGCAATGCTCAACAGTCTTCGAACAGCCTTTTGCATTGAATGTGGATATGATTTCTTTTGCATATGGTTCTGTTTATTTTCACTACAAATATGTGAACTTTATATATGTCTTATCCAGTGAAGAGATTACAACGACTTCTGTTTGTAATCTTTCCATAACTGGATTCAAATCTGTAATCATTTTATCTAGATCAATATAAATCGTGAGTCATATTAGTTAGCTTATAAAAAATGCATTTGAAAAGAAGAATACATATGTAAAGCTTTTCAAGCTGTCAAATAAGAATACATATGGCCTGGCTGTTCTGGCCTGTCGACGTCGGTGTCTGTTTCCCCGCAAAAGAAGAATACATATGTAAAGCTTTTCAAGCTGTCAAATAAGAATACATATGGCCTGGCTGTTCTGGCCTGTCGACGTCGGTGTCTGTTTCCCCGCATAGCGAACGGGATAGCCGATGCGAGCAAACGGGAAACGGCCAACTGGACAAGTCTCCTGTTTCACCGATCAACAACAGGAGCCGCATCCTAAAAAAATGGACCCAAGAAAACAACAGGTGCCGCGCTGCCACGCCACGCCATTGCCATGCCATCGGTGAACAGCATAGTGGCGGCTCAGCATAGAGACGAGCCCAGCGCTCAATAGAAAAGAAGTGGGCGACTCCGAGAGAGAGGGAGAGAGAGGCAAGTCCCGGGACCAAGCCGTTCGGCCTCGCGCGATGCAGCAGCAGCCGCCGCCGGCGTCCGTCCGCGCCGTCACCATCCGATTCGCCGACCTCAGGGTAACTAACCTTCCGCCACCGCCGACGCGACATTGCCAGCTCAGCGGCGTTTCTTCTCTCCTTTGGAGACGGCTTAATTGGCTTGGAGCTGCTGGCTGTGACTGACGGCGGGTACGGTGCGCGCAGGATCGGAGCAAGGACCTGGGCGGCTTCATCGAGGAAGGCTTCGGGCCTCGGGGGCTCGGCATCGTCTCCATCGCCGACGTGAGTGATGCTACTGTGCTATAGCGTTTGAGGCTGAGATGCAGCATGAGCAGATTTCGATTTCTATTTCTCTCGACTTTGAGCTTACGTGTGGGAGTGCGTTTGCTTTGTGCACGCAGGTACCCGGTTATCCTGAGCTCAGGAAAAGGCTGCTGCGCTTGGCGCCAAGGCATGTTGTCTTGCATTCTCATCTATGTTCAGGGGCTTCAGGCCCAATCAGGGCGATATGCCATGATTTTGTGCCTTTTTTCTTTCGCTAGCTGAACTCTTTGCTGAAAGACTTCTTACGATTTTGTGCCTTTTTTCTTTCGCTAGCTGAACTCTTTGCTGAAAGACTTCTTACGCTCCCTACTGTTTGTGGCACTGTTTGTTAGGATCGTCAACCTTCCTGATGATGTGAAGAAACAACTGGAGGACCCAGATAGCAGGTCATAGTTTACAGAATGCTCTTCACCAGGGAGCTTTTGGTTGGCATGATTGCTTATAGTGTCTACTTAAAGTCTTAAATGCTCCTCCTCTCCTCCCTCTTCTTTTCGTTCTTCTTACTTCATTTTCTTTCGGAAAAATAAGAGCTCCAGAGCTAGGATTTATATATAACTTGCACTTCAGTTCGTACAAAACCTTATGTATTTCGTATGCATTATTATTGGCCTTGCTTGACAGATATCACTTTGGTTGGAGTCGTGTGGAAGAAAAATTCGAGCCTGGAAGATTGGGTAAACAACATCTTTTCACTCTGTGTAATCATGCATCACATTGTATATAGAGCATCCTCTAAGCCTATCAGTTTGAGGATCAACTTTACAATAATGAAAATGACTTAGTAGGGGGAAATGCAATTGGAAAAAAAAAAAGTTAGTTGCAACAGTAGTGTATTCAGGTCAAAATGGTCTTTCAATTTTGCACTCAATGTCTTGGAATGCTTTTAGGCCCATAAGGCAAATTTCATCTGTTTTATGCAGACACAGCCAAAGGCTCCTATTTCGCCAACCCAGTTTTTGATGTCCCAACAACTGATGATGAGCTTCTAACTAGGTATAATGTTCCTAATCCTAAGTTACCTTTCTGTGTACAGTCTACTTTAAGTATACCTGACAACTAGAAACTTGATGATGTTATTATTGTTTTTGAAACAATAATGTTATTATTGTTCCAACCCTGTTTTATGTACTGAAGCATCTTTTAGTGAATGGTAACTTCACTGTCTCACTGCAGCTCAAGCTTGCTGGCTGTATCATTTTAAATCTGTAATGTTTGCTACTTATCTGAACAGTTTGTAGCATTTATGCAAACGAAATTATTACTCCAATTTTTAGGTGTGGCATATTACATATGTTGAAAACCTCTTAGATTTCATTTTTAGATGTTCATATTGATATTTGTTCCTGTTTTCTTTCTGATGATATAACATTTAGATACCCATCGTACTGCCGACCAAACATATGGCCAACTGATCATCTTCCTGAGCTTGAAATAGGTATGTGTTTTACAGGCCATATAAGGTATTCATGTACATTCAAGAAATTTTATTGCAAATCACAAGTTGATAGTAGTTACCTTGAGCAGAAAATTACTGTTAAACTCTAACGTTGTTACGAATTAAAGTAGTGAGACTTGACACTCTGCTTCTCAGGTTTACATACGTTACGTAATGCATATACATGCATTGCACATGACAAAAGTTCATTAGCTAATTCTGTGACAGCGCATATTTCAAGAAATTGCGTTCCAGTTTAAATCAACATGTTTATATTGATAATATGAGTACATGTTTTACATTTTCTTTAATGGGTGGGTGACCTTTTCCCTCGTACCCTCTAAGAGAGGAGGTGACTACCTGTGCCGTCTTAGGCTCGAAAGCGGGTGGGCGTACTGGTACTGGCAACAAGCCAGTTTTGCTAACCGAGCTAGGCTCGGTTCTCTGAACAGATGTTGTGCATACTTTACATTATTGGTGTCTCTTGGATCTCAAGAAGGTAAACGCAAAAGGCATTAAAGAGTTACAGTGATGCATCACAATGCCCCTTTATTTTCGTCCATCAGAGGATTGTGACCTAATATTAACAGACCTCTCATTCTGTCAATGACTTGCTGTCTTTTTCTTAAGTTCTGAAGTCTCTATGCGCTATAGAAATGTCTATTTAAGTGTATGTGAGTTCTTTTTGTAAAAGATGATTTTGTCAACTAGAGTCAAGCCCATATGTATAACATTTATTTCAATTGTAGCATTCAAAGATCTTGGAAAATTGATGTTGGAAGTTGGCTTGATGTTGGCTCATCATTGTGATCGCTATGGTATGTACTACTGAACCATGGCTATGTTTAGTAAGGTTTATCTGTAAAACATCAACTCCACTTGGTTCAAAAATTAATGAGTGAGCCATGGAATCTTTTATCCTCTTTTAATGAAATATGTGCAACAACAACAACAACAAAGCCTTTAAGTCCCAAACAAGTTGGGGTAGGCTAGAGTTGAAACCCAGTATAAGCAATTAAGGTTCAGGCACGTGAATAGCTGTTTTCCAAACACTCCTATCTAAGGCTAAGTCTTTGGGTATATTCCATCCTTTCAAGTCTCCTTTTATTGCCTCTACCCAAGTCAACTTCGGTCTTCCTCTGCCTCTCTTCACGTTACTATCCTGGCTTAGGATTTCACTACGCACCGGTGCCTCTGGAGGTCTCCGTTGGACATGTCCAAACCATCTCAACCGGTGTAGGACAAACTTTTCTTCAATTAATGAAATATGTGCACTGCACTTTTTTTGGAGATTTTTTTTTAACTCATAGGACATAGTAATATCATAATAGTAGTATATGCATTTGTGTAAATGTAAAAGTTAATGACCTTTTGAGCATCTTATTATTCATTATGTATTATGAGTTCAGAGAACAGTTGCATACTTTGTTATTATTGATATATGGTGAAATCCAATGCAACACCCAATAGTAGTGTATCTTGTACAAAGTGCACCCCTTTTTCAGATATACGTGCTGCAGGCATGTCCTGGACAGCCAGCTTTCAGGGCCTTTTCTCGACCCTGCAATTTGAGGAAATTTCTTCCTTCTGTGATATACCTCGGGGCATGGGGGAGGTCAATCCCCCAGGGGTCGAGTTTTTTTTGTCAGATATCCATTTATTTAGCTTAATAGCCAAATTGTTACTAAGGAGCTGTTTTAAGTTTTTGATATGGAAGCAATTCAGGTGGTAGGAAACCGTTGAATTTTTCTGGTAACCACAAATTTTATGATATATGCAAAATATGACATACATGCTAACTGAATCTTTCTCCGAACTTTAATATTTTATTTTAGTTACCATTTAATCAAATGAATCAGCGTCTCTGTGATTTTCAGTAACGCAGAAAGGAGTGGGACAGTACATTGGTGAAAGCCTTGAGAAGACACTTGCTAACTCAAGGTGTCCCAAGGGTCGTCTGCTGTACTACTTTCCCAAATCATTTAGGTACACTCTTCCCAAATCATTTAGGTACACTCAGCAAGCATATGTATAGTCATAAACTCATGAAAATCAAATGGCTCTAATTAGCACATAACCTTTAGGCAAACTTAGAGTTACACAGGTTCAGTATATTTTACAGGAGGACAACATTAATACACTGCATGTTTTCACATAGTACATCCTTTGCCCATGTGGATCAAAACTTTGCCCTTATTTTGGTATCCAAGATTTTTAATCAGATCTAAGATTTCCAATGTCTTCTCTAAAAGTTTATGGTTGTTTGTTATTGCAGCAAACAGGATGGAGTTCAATCTGTTTCATCATGGTGTGGATGGCATACTGACTATGGATTTTTGACAGGTGACCCATGGTACCCCTATGGGTTGGGTCTGTGTGATAACATGTGATCAAACAAGTGATACGCATATTTATTACCAAATTTATACTCACAACCTAACGTATTAATGGAATTCTTGGTCTGAATGCTCTTATTGTCTTCACATTCATTGTTCTCAGATAGTTTTATGCATACATGCAGGACTTACGTGTGGCTTGTTCACGAGAAAATCAGAGGAGGTTCCCTGTCCTGATATTGGAACTGGGCTATATGTTCGGACTCGTGATAATCAAGTTGTTAAGGTTACTTTCTTTCAATGTAGGATTCGCCTTGAGATAGATGACATGCAAATGTAACTTACTGAGGTCGTCACTTCACTAAGCATCAAGTAAAAATGATATGCATGTTTGCAGCACTGGGAAATATAGTGTTATAGACAACCTTCGACCGATCATTGCTCATTGTTGTTTAACCAATTGCATGGAGCCATGGACCATGTTTACATTGTATTCAGTTCAGAGAGCTAGGTGTTATGTGCTTATTTGTTTTTGAATGGACACTTTAGGTCACATTTGAGGATGATGAATTGGTTTACCAAATTGGGGAAAGTGCTGAAATACTATCAAGAGGTCATCTCTGTGCAACCCCACATTGTGTGATGGTATTTTCTAATCAACATTCACCTTTCTAATTGGCCTAAATGTGTCATTTGGTTGCCTGCATGAACGCATGGGCAGTTATACCTGATCCAAATGGCATAAAAGCAACTTCTGAGCCTGGCTCCAAGGAAACAAAGTCTGGCTTTTCTTGCTGGTCTATCTTGTACTGGCATGTTTGTGTCTCAGCCAGTGGCTGTATCACCCCATATGCAACCAACCAAAGCATGACTTAAATCTTAAGGACAATCGATCTTAATGGATACAACTAACTAAGCCTGCCTCTTTTTGTTTAGATGAAACCAAAACATGTCTACTTTGTAATTGATGGTCCCATGGTTGTAAGTTCTAATGGTTGCCAATGTTTATAGGCTCCCAGCAGCGAAAATGCTTCTGATGTTGATCGGTCAACTTTTGTTCTGTTTATTCAGCCAGATTGGTAAGTGCAGCTTTGTCTTCCCATTTGGCATCTGGTAGAAATGATAGCTCACTTGTACTTTTGCTCTTTCTGTACCAAAGATTGTGCCACCTATATTGCCAAGATTTCTTTGGTTATGTTGTTAGGGTTTCTTCCTCCATCTCAATTGTGAAATGTAATGCACAAACACCAGGATATACAGTTGCATACTTCCCAGTTTACTCTTTAAACTTAACCCATTTATGTTAGTCCAGTTCAGCCTGATTGTGCCAAAAACAAAACAAAAACTGATGGCAAAGCAAGGGCCAGGTCTAATAGGCTATTTGTGAGTTCTCAATGTTATCCGCACGCATGTTTCCAAACTGAAATCATCATTTGAAAATTTTGGCAGGGATGAGCTGCTGAAGCTTCCAAGTGAAATACGCTATTACAAGGAGGTTTGTCTAAACAGAGTCTTCACTTTTTTGCTTCATCACGGTTTGGTTCTGCTCCCGCCAAATGAGAAATGACCACTCTGTTTTTGACTCGACAGTTGATTCCACCAAACGGGACACTTACATACGGCGAGTACTCTGAAAGGGTCTTGGCGAGTATTATCGGCAAGAGCGTGGAGCACACCGTGACGCCACAATAAGAAACTCTAGATACATATGTTGCATGTATATTGATATAGCCAATCGGCGAAACTCACACAAAGTGACAGAAGCATGCTGGTGTGGGATGAATCACAGCTCAGAATAATGCACCAACAAAAGTATGCCGTGTTATGTTATTTTACCCAGTGAGATCTGATGTGATTATCATTCTTTATTGGGGATGAAGAAAGTGTTGGTCGATGGTCTCGTGCACAAATGTCATTCGCAGGTTCTTTTGATGTTGTATTGCTTTGAGAACACCTATTGTGGTCTGAGGTGACCAAAACTACTATGTAATGTAATTTAAGGTCTGGATAACTAGTACTTGTGGGATTTAAGACTCTTAGTTTGTTTACAAACAATGTGTTCTTCTGCTTTGCATGCTGGTGAAATGAACAATATATCAAGACATGCTATTTGTGGTCTAGATGAACATTCATTCATTCATTTGCCTTCACATACATAGAACTCTACTCTATGATAATTGCATACAGAGCAAGGAAGATGCAAACACAGACCAGTTTCTCAATCAATCTAAGATGCTGGATTGCCTCTACTCTATTCTCTACACCTGCAACAGCCTGGTAAGCTTCCTGGATGATGGCCAGAGGCGGTGTAGGAACAATAGCAGATGCTGCCACTGCCTGAAGAACAGGCGCCATTGATGCAGCAGGTGCTGGCACTGTCTGTACAGCAGGCGCCATTGATGCAGCAGGTGCTGGCACTGTCTGTACAGCAGGTGCCATTGATGTACCTCCTTCCACAGCTGGAAGACCCATCAAATCCTGACAACCTCCAACCTGAGAACCAAAACAATCACAGATTAACAACCCAACAACAGCGAGAATCAAAGTAAAAAAAAAAAGGAGCTAAGGAGCAACACAAAGTGCAAAATATGGGCTCTTGTGGAAGACACAGTGATAGTTTTCTTCATCATCGATGTGAACTCGTTGGCAAGCACACCACAATTCGGGCAATAGACCCGCCTTCCCCTCCTTCCATATCTGCTTGAAGCTTGAGACACATGGCACAAGAGAGGTTGAAGGAGGGAGAGCAATGGAGAGGGAACCTACCTATTATATAGGAGCTGGCAGGGAGGTGTATTGGCGCCAATGCCAAAGAGTTTGGCGCCAAAACACTGAGCTAGGGAGTGGCACAGGAGGAAAACGCAACTTCAACTAGCTTCTCTAGCCTGAGGGCATTTCTGTCTTTTCGTAGCTCCATTTCACACTGTTAGCAGGGAATGTGGACGGAACGGCGTGGAGGACAAAAAAAAGTTCGGACCACTGGCACCTGTTATCGCTCAACTTTTTTAATGGTAGGTATGGAATTGCAAACTTTTTTAATGTCACACAGAGAAAAGACTCGAACTTTTTGTGCTCAAGGGCTTGGCAAACTAGTCTCATTATACTCTTCATCGGTGGGAATTTTGATCAACTATGGAAGCTAATAAAATTGAGTGTTTGTGAGAAGTTCATTGAGGGGAACATAAGAGTTAACAGATTTGAACTAGCAGCAAAATTACCTTTGAAACATCTACCTCTGACTGATGCTTTATATGGTTCATTACATTGTCTTGTATTAACGATTCCACATGCTCCTGTCATCAGATTCATCAAATCAATGCTAGCAAGGAGTTCCATGTGAAAACCATAAAAAGTTACCAGGCAGCACAATTTTCTTTTAAGTTTCTACCTCAATCTTTGGCTCCTCAATGTTGTCCAGATTGCTTCCTTCTACACAATCCTCCTTTGAACACTATTCAATGGGTTAGTAAGGATACCCACAAAAGAAACAGAGATGTCATTGGTTTATCATAGTTAATTGCATATTTGTAAGGGAGTTCCACAGCAAAACATAGCTAGCAGCCCAAATTTCTGTGAATTATCTACCTTCTATTGATTTGTCTTTTATGTTTCCTGCATGTTGTTGTTTTGTGCTAGTTCATTCTCAGAACAATTCTTATCATTAGATTCACCAAATACCAAATTGCTCACATTGCTGCCCCTAATTTAGAGCAAAACAATACATCATTATGCTTTGCACCAAAGAAAACAGACACGGTATAGAACGTCATACATGCAATGATAATCAACAATATTTGTGCAATAAGAATAATATGTTATTGAAGGGCGGGCCTGGTGCAAGCGCTAGAGTCTTACCGCCTGTGACCGGAAGGTCCCGGGTTCGAGTCGCGGTCTCCTCGCATTGCACAGGCGAGGGTAAGGCTTGCCACTGACACCCTTCCCCAGACCCCGCACGGAGCGGGAGCTCTCTGCACTGGGTACGCCCTTTTTTTAAGAATAATATGTTATTGTGCAGATCATACATTGCAGACTCTTCTGCAGCAGAACATTCATTGGATATTCTCGTCATTGTTTCCAAGGAAAAATCCCGATGAGTCACGATCTCGAAAAAAATTTCATCGTAGTTATCATCCTTGTAATGACTCTGATTCCTTAGTAAGTCAATGATGAAGTTGGTGCCTTTTGTTGCAGCCTATAGAAATTAGTTTGCAAGCAACACAAAAAAAAGCTAATAAATATCGAAGAGTTAGCACTACAGATTAAGTAGGTTACAGTTTGATTTGGCGAGGCAAAAATGTACAATCATGGTGGCAGAAACAGCAATATGTGCAGGCGCTTTGTATGTCATAAAGCTTAAAGCATACTGCCGGAATCTACCACAGATACTCAAAGTGGAGCCGTAAATGGAGCTGTGACAGCCACTTATCAAAGACTGGCACATCAGATCAGCCTCCTCCGTAATACACTTGAAACCGTGTTTTACAATTGGCACAAGAGAAAAATAGAAAAAACTTCAATAAAAAATGGATCCAAATTAAGGTCTAGCTTGACTAATTAGAAGCAGGGATGGACACACCTTCAAGGCGATAGCAGCAGCAGGAAACTCGCAACATTTCATTTTGCTTATTTCATTTGCACATTTGGTGACCTTATGGCTCTGGCTGATCTCATCACTGAATTTTTTAGGACAACACTTCATCATAGTCACAAGTTCATGCTCCATCTTGATGCACTTGAAACATTTCACAAATAGACTAATCAGATCTACAGACACAAGAAGCTAAGTAAGCTGGACAAACAAGATATAAGCACATGGTTTATTGAGGGAGAAGAAGAAACCGATACTGCTAGTTTTGCAATTCCATTCCCATCCTCTCCATCATTGGTTCCATTGCAGATATTGTGTTCGTAGTACACCACGAGATATTTCTTATATTCGCCCCAACGATTTGGAGACAAGCATGGCACTAACCAATCCCATCCCCATGCTCTCTCCAAAAGATCTGAAGGACAGAAACCAAGAGCTCATGTGTTGACAAATTAATTACCAAGGAGATACAAAAGCTAACATATTAGCAATAGTAAATAACGAAATCCAACGGCGACCTAGTGGTGAAGTGCGAAGCCCACCTAGCCGACCTACCTACCTGGGAACTTGATGATCTCAAACGGCGGCATGTCTGGGCGATGGCCATACTTCCTCTTGGCTTCCCCACGTTCAGCGAAGACAGTCATCCTCTCCCTGGCGGTTCTTCGCTGCTCATCAAAATAGTCCTGGAGACGGACCTCCCTCTCCTTTTCCTCGTCGGACATTGCGGCGGCGCCGGCGCCGGCGCCGGCCACGTATGTGGGGTCTGCTCTGGGGTTTTCGAAGCGGAGGTAGCGCGGTGTGGCCCCTTCATACATACTCATTTACGCTAGTCCACTTCAGCCTGATCTTGCTGCCAAAAAACAAAAGGAAACATACAGGAAGGGCTAGGTCTAAGGGTCCGGTTCGCACCCAAACTTTGCCGCACCCGCCGCACCTTCCGCGCCGCAGGTTTGGCGTGCGTTTGGTTTGCTGCGGCAGTTGCGACATTCCACGGCCTCGCCATCGCGTGCCAGTGCATTTTTACTGTCAAAACATATCATAAGTGCGGCGAACAAAATTGGCGCCGCCGCAGCTCTGGCGTGGCATGCACCGGCAAACGAGCCCTAAATGTTATGGGAAGGCTATCTGTGAATTCTCACATGTAAAAAGTCTACTTAACTCTCTCAACTATTTAGAGTAAACTATTTCACCCCTCAAACTATAAAATCAGATTTTCTATCCCTAAACTTTTCATATAACCCCTAGGCGGTTTTGAACGGTGGTTTTGCTACAGTGCCCATGGTTTTATCTTTTTCTTTTTTATTTATTTTCGTCGAATCTTTGAAAAATCATACTAAATCACAGAAAAATCATAAAATAGAAAATCCAATTTTGTTGGACTCCACATGAGTAGGTCTACACAGTGAATATATAACATAATATTCTTTAGTATAAAGTTTTTGCTGTAATTTTAGATCTATGCTTTTCTGTAATTGACCGTCTCTTCCGAGCGGATGTTGGTGATGGGCTTCGCTTCTATCCACTTAGTGAATTTGTCCACTGCTATGAGTAGGTGAGTGAAGCCGTGGGCCCTTTTTGAGGGGTCCTACCATGTCGAGACCCCAGACCGCGAATGACCAAGTGATCAGGATGGTTTGGAGCTCCTGTGCTGGCAAATGAGTTTGCCGAGCGTAGAACTAGCATCCCTCGCACCTACGGACGACCTCCTCTGCATCTCGTAGTACGGTGGGCCACTAAAAACCTTGGCGAAAGGCTTTTCCAACCAGCGACCTCGGGGCCGCGTGATGTCCGCAGATTCCGGTATGGACCTCGAGGAGGAGCTATTTCTTTTGGTTGGTAGAGATGCACTTCATGAGTACCCCCGATGGACTTCGCTTGTGGAGTTCATCACCGATGGCGACGAATGTCTTGGCGCGTCGAGCGATCCGTCGAGCTTCAGTCCTTTCGGGTGGGAGGACCTCCTCGAGGAGGTAGGCAAGTAGCGGCGCTCGCTAGTCGGTTTGATTGAGTGCCAACATGGCGACGTCGGCGGTGACGTCGTAATGGAGGCACTGGGTTCGAGCCCCCGAGCGCCGGTTTAGCGTCGGGGTCAGAGCCCCTGAGCGTCGGGTTGGCATCGGGGTGTGTCTAGATCGGACCTTCTAGGATGCGTGTGGACAGCTCGTGAAGGTCGTTCATGAAGACCCCGCTCAGAGATGAATCCCGCCTGGCGGCCAATTTTGCGAGAAAATCAACGGCATCGTTGTCCTTTAGGGGGACGTGATGCGGCTCAATCCCCTAAAATTTTTTCTCAAGCTTTCGCACCTCTAGGCAGTATGCTGCCATGAGGGGGCTTTTGCAGGAGGACTCCTTCAACGGCATCGTTGTCCTTTAGGGGGACGTGATGCGGCTCAATCCCCTAAAATTTTTCCTCAAGCTTTCGCACCTCTAGGCAGTATGCTGCCATGAGGGGGCTTTTGCAGGATGACTCCTTCATGACCTGATCGACGACCAGCTCCGAGTCGCCACGAACGTAGAGTCGCGTAGTGCCAAGCTCAATGGCGATGCGCAGTCCGTTGATGAGGGCCTCGTATTCTACGGCATTGTTTGAGGCCAAAAAATGGAGGCGGATGGCGTAGCGGAGCTTACTCCCGTCCGAGGAGATCAGAACCACCCCAGCCCCCGAGCCGAGCGCCATTACGGACCCATCAAAGTACATCGTCCAGTACTCGTGTGTGACGTCCGGGGTGGGTAGTTGGACCTCTGTCCATTTGGCGACAAAATCCGCGAGAGTCTGAGACTTAATAGCGGTACGGGGGATATACCTGATGTCGTGGCCCATGAGTTCGAGTGCCCACTCGAAGATTCATCCCACGGCGTCGTGGTTGCGGACGATGTCTCCGAGCGGGTATGAAGTGACGTCCGCGACTTCGTGGTCGGTGAAGTAGTGCAGGAGCTTCCGGGTTACCATTAGCACGACGTATAGGAGTTTTTACACCTAGGGGTACCGGACCTTAGGGTCGGTGAGTACCTCTCCGATGAAGTATATGGGTCGTTGGACCTTAAGGTGGTGTCTCGACTCCTCCCTTTCGACGACTAGGGAGGCGCTTACCACGTGGTTGCTTGCCGCGACGTAGAGGAGGAGGGGTTCTCCCCGTTCGGGAGCGACAAGGATTGGGGCCGACGTCAGTGACACTTTGAGGCTCTCCAAAGCCTATTGTGCTTCCTCAGTCCAGACAAATGTTGATGTAACTAAGTTAGAACGTGTTGACATTCTGTTTAGTTGTATCGGTTTAGTCGACACGTCATCCTAAAAGGTTTGTATGGCCCTGGTTTGACTTGCGGTTGGGGTGCAAGGTGCGTAGCTTGTGCACACGTAGAAACACACAAGTCAAACCAGAGAGCACCTACCGATCACCCGTAGCGTAGGGAGCGGATCCCATGCACGCGTTGGGGGAAACCGGAGACAGGGCCTGCTCTGAAAACCCGAGAAGGAATGGTGGTCGGTTTTAACTGGTAGAGTTAGAATAACGATAGACTTCGAAGTGACACATTAGAGTAGTCGGAGAAATCATAATAGCTTTATTGAAATAAATCAAAAGTATAAGAGGGGTACATATCTTAGTAGCTAAGCATAGAAACGCCTAAGCTTGTCGATGTGCCCCGACTGAGTGGATGATGACATCCTGGGCCTCGAGCTCTGGGATCTCCAGGTGCTTGGCGTCGAGCATGGTCTCGGCCATGTGAATAGAGAGGTCATGAGCCTCTGCTATTTTGAAGCTGTCATCCTCGCAGGTGTAAGCTGCGTATACGTTGCCCCTGAGAGTTAGAACCCCCTTCTCAGTAGGCATCTTGAGCACCAAATACCTATAGTGAGGTATGGCCATGAACTTGGTGAGCGTTGGTCGGCCAAGGATAGCATGGTAGGTGCCTTCGAAGTCAGTGACCATGAAGTTGACATAGTCGGTGCGGAAGTGGTCTGGGGTACCAAATTGCATAGGTAGCATGATCTGTCCGAGAGGTGTGGAGCTCTATCTGAGGAGAACACCCCAGAACTGTGCCTCGTATGGCTTAAGATCAGCCTGGGTTATCTTCAAGGCTGACAAACTGTTCTTGAACAGTATATCGATGGAACTGCCTCCGTCAATCAGCACTTTATCGAACTGAACCTTGTTGATACAAGGATCGAGAACCAGAGGAAAACGCCCCGGCTCAGGTATTGCAGCCCATTGGTCCTTTCTGCTGAAGGAGATCTCGTGGTGAGACCAAGGAGGGAGCCACGGATCGGCGATGAGGTTGTCGATATTGGCCACGTTCAAGCAAGCACGGGCGAGCAGCTTGCGCTCTTATTTGGTGTCGATGGACACTTTGCCCCCAATGATGGTGTGGACGCGGTCGGTTGGCTTGACGTACTTGTGACGGGGATCTACATCTTCATCATCGTTGTCCTCGCTACGCTGCTCCCCTGCGTCATTAGGCTTGTCGGATTTATTCGGAGCCTGTTGGCGCGAGCAGATGGATTTGAGAACACGACAATTCTCCATGGTATGGTTTGACTTGGGATGGAGCTGGCAGGGACCTTTCAGTGCTTTGGCGTTGTCTTCTTCGTAGTTGCGATGTCCGCCACCTTTTTTAACGATGTTGACTTCGCCGTCATCTTCCCGAGCACGCTTACCCCTATAATCGTCACGACGATTATGCCGCTGGTCGTGGTGGTCGTGAAAATCGTTGCGCTGGTTGCGGCGATCGAAATTGTCATTCCGACCACGGTTGCCGCGGTGATCGTCGCGGTGTGGGGGGTGGTCAGAGCGTGGAACCCTTGCTGCTTCTTCGATGATTATCTTTTTAGCATCATCAGCGTCCGCATATTTTTTAGCAGTAGCTAGGAGCGCTGTGACTGATTCAGGTCTTTTGCGGAGGAGCTTGTCCCTTAGGGCATCGTGGAAGCAGAGGCCAGTGATGAAAGCTTCAATTGCCTCGTTGTCGAAGATTGATGGGACCTTGATGCGCATCTCCAAGAAGCGTCGGATGTACTCGTGCAGTGGCTCATCTTTATGATCTCAAATCCGCTGCACATCATATTTGTTGCTGGGTTGTTCGCAAGTAGCAATGAAGTTGTCAATGAATGCTTGCTTGAGCTCTTACCAAGAATCAAAGTAGTTTGCCGGCAAGCTGACTAGCCATTGGTGGCCTGCATGGCCGACGGCGACTGGGAAGTAATTATACATGACGTGCTCGTCAGCCATGGCTGATCTGCACGCGGTTTCATAGAGCAAGACCCATAACTCGGGGTTCTCCTTGCCGTCGTACTTCTAGAGTTTTTCGAGCTTGAAGTTTTTTGGCCACACGACTTGGCGAAGGTAAGGAGTAAACTGCTTCAACCCCGGAGGGCCGTGGGTAGTATCATATTCCATACGGCGATAGCTTTCGTAGGATGCACGATCGTTGGCTCTTTGGTTGATACGATCGCACAGATTGCGTTCTCCGAGGGAATGGCGGAGATCGTTATTGCCATCACGGCGATCCCGATTGCCGCCCTGGTTGACCCTGCGACCGTGGTTATCATGGCGATTGTCATGGTTTTCTCATCGATTATTGTCCGGTTGTAGCGGCGGTTGTCGTCCCGACCACCATCATGACCACCGTTTCCGCCTTGACGGTTGTCTGATGGGACGTTGTTGCGTGAGCCACGTTGGTTGGGTGGCTATGGGCAACTTGAGTACTGACGACTGTGGCTTGATTCGACTAAGGCCGTCGGAGCCCGGGCTTGGTTTGCAATCTCTATGGTCTGGGCCATAGCAGCCGTCAAGTAGGCTTGCATATCATCACGGATTACCTGGATTTCCGGGGTATTGGGCAGTCGTTGTATTGTTGCCATAGCAACAGCTACGTTGGCGCTTGGAGTCCTAAAGACCTGCTTTTCCCCTACCCTATCAAAGGCATTATTGAGATCGCGTGGCTGGAGCCTTATGTGTCGTGGCTCCACTTCTACCTCGGCTTTGGCTTGTCTGCGATTAAACCGAT